AATATTCAATTTCTCTATTGGGACAGCTAAAAATCCAATGCCTAAAATGTGTTAATATAAACTTTCATTATTCCTTTCAGTATTGATATTGCACAAACCCATGCAACATGTGAATTTTCCTTTCTGTGGAGCAGGGTGTTGCTTGCAATCACTGTGTGCTGACTTTCTTTGCAACTTTCACTCCTGCCCTGATGCCAACACATTAATTAATAGGGGTACATGCTCCCCTGAAGAGTCACAACTTTTACTCAAATACCCTTTCCACTTTGGTCATTTTCCTGTTTTCTAATATCAAAAGCTCCACTGCTTTTGAATTCAAAGCATCTACCTGTACTGAGATCTCTAACTCAGTCAGGACCATGTGTTTAATTCTTTTATTCTCTGTTCTTAAGGGTCACATTAATAATGTCTGAGCTCCCTCAAGGGGGTCAAGTTATTAGTGTGCTGGGTAACCCCAGAAAGGAGTGGGGTGTTTGGCAGCAGAGTGACCTATACCCTCCCTTCCAAAACAGAAGGGGAGAGACAGCTGGTTCTCTTCAGATTGATCCAATGTAGTGCTGGCAGGCAGTTTGACATGGGGAGGGCATGCCTGTTCTTTCTGCTAACAGTCATATGTTCTGCCTTCTGTCTTGATTTGGAGCAAGTGGCTTCCTTATATTTGATACAGGTTGTTCACCTGATAGTAAGGTAACAGGGAGGGGCACATGCAAATGTCACTTGGCAGATCTTGTCAGCAGCCCTTGTATGCAAGCCAATGTCAACCCTTAAGCAAAAATCAAGTGCAGATACTGAACCCAAATCCTACTCAACCGAGTCAGGTCTTAGCAGGGTTAGAAAGGGCCCTCTTGATCGTCTGCACTATGTGCTGTTTGCCACACCCTGTGACACCCCTTGTTGTGGACCCCATTAGAGGTGAGGGATTGAGAAAGACCGATGTGTGCACAGGCGGGAATGGGGTTCCCATTCCCAAGTATGGCTGCACTTTCCAGGGTGACTGTTCTATTAGGGTTTCCTGAGCACATACCTGAGGGGAGGTACAATCACCTGCATTCCATACAAATCCACTGGTTTGGACACCGGTTTTTGCTTACCTCCAACTAAAGAAACATTTTTGAACATTTTTAAATTGATACCCTGCGACATCGCCATTGTTCTGAATCAGATGCTCAGGGATGCTGAAATGCCCCATCTTTCCACCAGGGGGAGAGTCTCTGCAGCTCAGGCGCCAGGAGATGCTGTCGTAGAGACTGAACTGGAAAGAAATTGGATGTGTGTGTGTGTATCATCTGACTGGAAATACAGCTTTTTTTTCTATATATTGACTTTCGTATGACTTGGTGATTAGATTTAATTTTTGTGCCTTCAGAGTAGCATTTTTTGTAATTTAAAAAGATTGAATACTTTTTCTGCAACATGAGGTATTTTTCCCTCGATTATCAAATAATACATATAATCTCTTTTTTATGGCACTGAACCAGGCACCACACACAGTGGTGGGTGAGAGCATGCCTCAGTGGCATTGGCTAGCTCGCTGTTAATTTCCCAAGAATCCCAATTCTGCCAGGGCTCTCTGTAAACTGGGACCTTTCATTCATTCAGTCTGACCCAGCAGCAGTGTATAGCAGTCCACTCAAGGTCAAATCTACTTTGTACATTTATCACTGTTCCTGTATTAAATATATGGATAAGAGGAAAGGGGGTTGTCCTTGCTTTGTGAATAATTTTTTACTGGTTGGAAAACAGCAAGAAAAATGTTTCTGTTTCAAGGGCATTGACATGGAACTGCTCCATTACAATGGTAGGAGGTGTGAGGACCAGAGACTGGAGCCAGCGATTGGTTGTTTTTTTTTTTTTTTACTAGATAAAGTTTATTAGAACATAGCTATACCCACCCACTTACATAGGTTTATGGCAGCTTTTCAATTATGCCAGTTTAAGTTTAATCATCCTCAGATAGGCTTATTACAGTGCTAATGCATGACATCTAATGGTCATCCACTCATTCTTTTATTTTATTTTATTTTATATATTTTTTACATCATTTTTCATTTTTGCACAATGTATGCATTTTCATCTTGGGTTATAGTCCCGATACAATTCCCACCCCCCTTGTTTTGATCCTACACCCTTCCTACCCCCCATAGTGTGTCTCTGGTTTATAGTTGCTTGCTGATTTTGAATTTTACTTTATTGCAATTAGTCTTTTTCCTGGTCCCTTATTTAGGTTTTCTAAATTCCTGCTATGAGTGAGACCATCCGGTATTTTTCTTTTTCTTTCTGGCTTATTTTGCTGAGCATGATCCCTTCCAGCCCCACCCATGTTGCTACAAATTGCAGCAGTTTATCTTTCTTGATTGCTGAGTAATATTCCATTGTGTATAAGTGCAAACTGGTCCAACCACTATGGAAAGCTCTGTGGAGATTCCTCAACCTGCTAAAGATGGAGCTTCCATATGATCCAGCAATTCCATTCCTAGATATTTACCTAAAAGACACAGAATCATTATTTCAAAAGGCCACCTGCACCCCTATGTTTATAGTAGCACTATTTACAATAGCTAAGCTATGGAAACAACCTAAATGCCCAAAAATAGATGACTGGATCAAGAAGATATGGTAGAGATATTGTGTTTTAATCGCTACAGTGCCCCTTATTTGTTGACCCAAGGGTCTCAGTCTAACATAACCCCTCAGATTTGGGTTTCCATCAATTAAATAGGGATAATATCCTATTGATTTTTATGAGGAAAAAGATACACAGGTGAATAGATAAGTAAAACACAGTGATAGCACACAGTGGTGCTCAATTCAACCCCTTTGTTCTCTGGTTAAAAAGCTTGTTTGCAACTGTTTTTCCTTAATATTACTTACTGGTCTGTTCTCTTCGTCAGTGTGAGATAAGGTGGTTCTTGTATAGTGAAATGGGGAACAAGCAAATAAAAAAGAGAAAGCCATCTTTTAGGAACAGACTACAATGTAATTGTAATCAAAATGATTAAAACCACTCCTGAAATAAGCAGCTCACAGTTCACTGCCTCTGCCAGTGTCCCAACTGCATTTCTGCCTACTGCTCATTCAGCTACACTCTAGAATCCCCTGCTACCCCACAAAGGGGCACTATATATCCTCTCTTGATTTAGGATCTTTGACCTCACCCCAAGATACAGATGTTGCAGTGTGTCCATGGATGACATTAAAGTTACACTCTACCTCCACAGAAATCCATTATAATTTTACACATTCCTTTGGATTTGATGATTTGATAAATCCTCCCGGATTTGATAAATGACTCCATGAGTATCTACATCCACGATTTCTCTACCCTCTGGGGCCTGCTTTACTGGTACCTGGCTACAATCCCCAACGATGTAGACAAACCAGGGTTTATTTCACTCAGACTTCTTGACTTCCTAGTCAGTACAAAATGGCATTTCAATGGAAACACATTGCTACGAGAGGTCAGGCTGTGCATAGCTTTATTACACAGTTCAGCTGCATTTTGGATAAGTAGCTTTTGTGGGTTAGCCTGGGAGATTTGTCATTACATGTAATTTTGTAGCTATGGAATATGAGGCCCATGTTCCAAATGACTAGCTCAACAACTTACTTTCAGAATTTGCTTTCTTCTAAGTTGGTAACTGCCTGTCCTTTTGTAAATTGCCTGAACCAAAACTGATCAGATAATAAAGAGCATTTCTAAGCAAGAGAGGCTGCTGTACCTCTGAAAGACAAGCAGCCACACACCTTGGTTCTTAGATCATGATGCAAGTTCAGACAGCGAGGTGATCCTGCGTAACAGACACTGCATTTCAGACCAGTCCTGTGGACTAATGCTCATGTCTTAGAGAAAAGGAGAGGCAAGAAAAAGTGAGAAACTACTAAAAGCCAGTTAGTGCATTAGAAATCCTCCCTGCATTGGAGGCAGTGCTGTGGCAGGGGCCCCAGAGTGAGAACTGAACATCAGCAGACCCTTGACACCAGCATCCGCGGGAGGTGTTGCCACTGTGAGCTGAAATAGGAAAGAGTAAGGTGTCATCTTAATTCATCAGGAGATTTAGAATGCGCAAGAAAGAGTTTTAACTATAGGACCCTTTGTTCCTGGAGTATTGGGTGGGGTAATTTATCTGCGTAACATACGCGGGGAAATGCATGTCAAGTAAACTGGATTCTGAACCAACTATCATGGTCCCCATTATCCTGGCATCCCAACACCAAACCTGCCAGGCTTCACCTCCATCAGTAATCAAGCTCACCTGAAGTCTTGTTCCACAGTATTGGTTTTGTTTTAGAGGGTTTTCTAGGAAGGTTGTATTTAGTTCATTCCAATATTTTGCTTTGGCTCACAGTTGTCCTAGGAAACTTGGACCCCGTGTGTGTGAGTCTGTGACAAGTGCTAGGCCTCATCCACGGAACCTAGTGGGATATGACACAGTGGGAGGTCAGGATCATGACCATCAAAAGTATGGAGGAAACAGATTAATTATGACCTTAAAAGAAGCTGAGAGCCTCTCTGATGGCACAAGGGGTTAAGACGCAACCAATGAAGCTATTGCAGCTGCTGCAGCATGAGTTCAATCCCCAGCCAGGTTGGTGACCCACGTGGCACAGCAGACCTCTCCTGACTCGCCCACTGCTCCCATCAGCAGTGTATTTCAGTCAGTCTGCCTGTTCTGTTCCCCACTCTATCTCTGGTGAATCCTCTCACCCCCCGCATCTCTGGCCTGTACCCCAGCTCTTGTATGCATAAATAAATAAATCCTTAAAGAAAAAAAGAAGCTGAGAAGGGATCAGGATGTAAGAAGTCACTGATTCTGGGGCAGTGGATCTGCAGTGTGCGCACACTTGTGTTAATCTTTATCTCAGTCAGCACACAGCTGGATCAATGGTTCTTAAACTTCAGTGGTCAAGACTCACCTGAGGAAGCCCTGGTACTACTGTTACACAGGCATCCTGGAGGCGGGACTTCAGCAGGCAGGTAATACCAATGCTGGAGATTCTGAGATCATCTTGTCTTTCATGGTATCACTTTTTAAAAAATCATGTTAGTTGAGAACCATGTTACTTGTAATAAATATTGCATGAAGTATTTAAAACCAATAACCCCCCCACAAAAAAAAAGCCCAATGACCTCTATCCACACATTAGCACATAAATCACATATATTTACCAAATTATTTTTTTATTCCCTTGCACATTACTCAGAAACAATGTAGGGGTGTGACTGTGTGTGTGCTAAAAAATAAAGGGTAAGGGACCTCCCCTGGTGGTGCAGGCAGTTGAGCGCAGCACTGTGAAGCTGTCCGCAGCCTCTGAAGCACTGGTTCTATCCTCGCCTGCTGGCGAGGGTCCCGCATGTCGTGGCAGACCTCTCCTGTCTCGCCCGCTGCTCCCCTCAGCAGTGTATTTCGTCAGTCTGCCTGTTTTGTTCCCCACTCTGTCTCTGGTGAATCCTCTCACCCTCCTGCACATCTGGCCTGTACCCTGGTTCTTGAATAAATAAATAAATAAATCTTTTTTAAAAATTAAATAAAGTTTAAGATCATTTCCAACTTGTTGAAACCTCAACATCATTCGTGATAATTGAGGACCTAGAAAATAGAGCTAGTTTTGCTTTGTTTCATTTGTTTTGCTTCATCATGGTCAAGGAATCATGAGAAACAGTTTGAATTAACTTTATGAGACTGAAAAAGCCTTTGTGAGCACTTTTGAAAGCTTTTTTTTTTTAATTGACCAGAAAGACAACCTAACAAATGAGTCTAATAGAGTTGGTAACTTCTTAGCTATTGGACATTCTGGCTTTTCTTGAGAAACCCCACTGGAGCCATAGGAAAAGTGCAGCACAGCTTTGTGGAAGTGGAACACAGCCCCTTTTGGTGATTGGAGGTCATATTTAACAGAGATGATTCTAGTAATTGGCACCACTGGGCAGGACCTGGCTACCTTGCTCTAAGTTTCCTTGACTGAAGGAGGGTGATCCCTGTTGTCCATGTGCTCACCCAAAGTTGTTGTAAGAATTCAGTATAATCTAATAAAATATAATAAAGGATTTCATAATCCTGCCAACAAGTAATTTTCTGAATTAGATCAATGATCTCCAAAAGTATCCAGTAATAATCTGTTGGGGTACAGAGGAAAATATCAGAACCTTCATTTGTATTCAATTTTATCTAAAAAGTAAAGAAGTTTAACTTAATATGCTGTAGGGTAAGGAAAAATATCAGGCTTTTCTGCCCTCCCACCATCAGGATAGATGATGGATCCCTGTGGTCCTGAATGCATGCCTGATGGCGGGCACCTGGAGTAGGGTGTGGGCATAGGTAGATGGGATTCACCTGGGCTAAGACTGTGCTTTTAAGGGCGGCGTCACGGGGACGCCAGTAGAAGCCAAAAGAGAAGCCGAGAGAGAAGCAAAAGAAGCAGAAGCTGAGAGAAGTCTGGAGAGCCCAGATAGAATGAAGACTTGCTGGGAGCTGGGAGGCCTGCCAGCCTCCTGGCCCCCCAGCACCCTTACCTGCTGTGTACCAGGTAAATCCCAATAAAAAGACCTGCAAAAAGCCACTAAGGTCTCTGATTCCTCCTTTACCCAATCTGCTGGATCAGAAAACCTGCACTTTGGTCCATTACTGACCATACATATGCATAATATTAAAATGCATGTAGGACTTGGCACCATCACTTAGTCAGGATACCAATTAAAAGTCATGACCCCCTCTGCCCCTTCCCTGCATCTGAAGAGTGGAGACTGATTAAGGAGTTTGATGACAACCCCTGATTTAGCCATGAGCTGTCAGATTCTGTCGGATTACTGAAAGATATTGCAGTGGTCATTGTGCTGGTTATAATGTTGTTTTAATAAGTTGTGGGATTTGGTGAGCAGGGTCGTTGAGTTATCTCTAAGAAAAGTTTAGCAGCACTTCGTGAGTTTACTCAGGAGAGCAAGACATTTGCACAGACACAGGCAGACAAATGTTACATTTTGAAAGGCCAGGTTTATAGGAAAAGGAGAAAGGAAAAAAGAGGCACCTGCGTAGTCACAGGTGGGCAGGGGAGCTGCCTCTTGCCAGGGCAGAAAATGTACTGATACAGTGTTCTTTTTGGGAGGGGTTCATTCCTTTGTAGAATTGTTACCAATTGTTAAATTAATTCCTTCTAGGATGTGACAAGGTTGATTTGTGAGGACTCCCTACAATGGCCCTCCATCTCTATATCCCCACCTCTGGTGTGCACCTTGGGATACTTTCTGTAGCACTCTGGTACTTATTGTAGTTGGCTGGCACCTAAGGATTTTTCATTTCCATAGCCAGTTTAATCATTCCTATCCCCATCTTTAGTTTCTGGTCTTATGATGCCTCCATCCTAAATTTTCTACTCAGCTTCCATCAGTTATGTGGACTTATTTTGTCTAGATTTAACTAACCCAGTGCTTGCAAAAAAAAGAAAAAAGTGACTTAAAACAAATCCTTTAAGCAATGGCCCATGTCTGTACCACAGAAAACTCATGCCTGGAAAATGTCCAAACAACCCAAAAAGTCCATTAAAGATAAAAATAATGCAAACACAAGAGAATGTCAAGGAAATGGAAACCCTGACATTTTTCCTACTCCCTAAGCGAGCTCTTCATCTGCCCACTTGTAGTGAGGCAACCAGGTGCCAGGGGGCTGGCAGATCTCCTGGCCCCTGGCTAATCTCTACTTTTTCTGGTCTCCACCGCACTCCATTGCACAATCCTCTGCCACCCCATCCTCTGCTACTGCCCTTATATGCTCAGTCTCTTGGCTCAGGTGCGCCCACTGGTGCACTCCCACACTACACACCAGGTGGTGCCATCAGGCATGCATGTAAGACCACAGGTGTCCATCATGTTGCTAATGGCAGAAAAAAACCTGATCACTTCCATTTACCCCACAATCAGTAAATGTAAAGGAACTATCAAAATTCTGTTGAAAATTCTTCTAAACAGTTTAAGTGAATTTTGAACCGATTTTTCAAAAGCGCAAAAATTGTCATGGTATCATTATAAATTTAAAGACTAAGCCCCACTCCTTGCCCAGCAAGCAACTGGGAAGCTTGAATGGATAAAGGGAGTAGATGGTAGTGCCATGGGAACTGATCTGTGATGCTGATGATGAGGCTCATGAGTCAGGACACACCCAAGACTAGTCACCCAACCAACCAGTGAGGCCTGGAGTATAAATAGAACCTCTGGACTCTAGTCCTCTATGAAGCAGATTGCTCCTATCTTGCCTGCTGCTTCTCTTACAGTGTGTTTCAACAAATCCACCTCTCCTGTTCTCTGCTCTGTCTCTGGTGAATTCTTTCACCCCCATCTCCAGCCTCTACTCTGATTCCTCCCCACTTACAAAAATGAAATGCCTCAGGATTAGTTAGGAAGAGCAACTGAATGACAGTTAAAAACATGAAATTTACTGGCAGAATTTAAGCAAAAATCATTGTGGCATCAGTGGAGTGGAATAAAAATGAGCATCTAAAGGGCACTTCTTCCATCTGCTGCTGTGCATCTTTGTGAGGAGGTTTTCAGCTGCAGTAAGCAATAAAGAGAGGAAGGGAGGCCAAGGGGAGGGAGATGAACCTACAACTGGAGTTAAAATCTCTCTACTACAAGTGTTAAACCTGTGTATTTTAAAATAATGAAGTAGCTTCAGTCATACCACTGTCACTCACCGCATAATAAAAATTATTACTACTGTTTTACAGTGAGAGCAATTTCATTGTTATTAATAATAAATATATATATATATACATATACACAGAGATACAAATAGGACCTTTGTCTCAAACTTTAAAATAATCTTCCATGTACATTTTATAATGGACAAACATATATGTCAATAGTACTTGAATATTTAAAACATTCTCATCAGTTTTTATGGATTGGATGAACAGTCAAAAAGTTTGAAGGCCGCTGATGTAAATAGAAATGAAAAGGATATTCGGAAAAACCTGAGAAGCTATAATCTACACAATAACAATAGTATCTACCTGAGAGCCAGAGGCTAGGAGAGGAACTAGATGTGCAAGTTGTTAGGAGGGGCAAGGCAGTTCATTTGGAGCTCATCTTAACTACTTACATCTGCAATGGCACTATTTCCCCAAAAACTCACATTCTGAGATGCTGGGGATGAGGACTTCAACAAGTGAATTTAGGAGTGGGGATGGGGACATAGATTTGAATCCATACTAGCCATGACTATGTAAAAATAAAAACTCACCTCCTCTATTTCTTTTAAAAGTGTGGCTTAGGTCAAGGGCTTGTCAAAGCTCGCACTTCTTCATTGCCATCATGGAGTCGCCTCTGCCCCGAATTTCCCCCTGTGTGGTCTTAGTCTTATGCCCAAGTGTGGTCCTTCACCAGGAGAAACTGACCAGAAATATTTTGAGGCAAGAATCAGTTATGTAATTTACAATGTACAGTTTCCTGCCCCTGTCCCTACCCAGGCCTTCCCACAGCTGGTTTCTCCCTTCCATATGCGATACCGTTTGCTCTTCTAAAGCTTGAGATAAAAGATTTCAGATGAGGTAACCTTTCAGGGTGTCTGTACCATCTGTGAATATCTTCCCAAATGAACAGTGAAAGGAACCATATTAAAGGTCTTATTTTCGTAAGATTTTCATTCTGATCATATCAAAAGTGGCATTTTTTTTTTATTCTTGCCCTTTACTTGCTATCATAGAATGTGAATAAAAAAGGTGTCCTTACCTCAGGCAGGAGACTTTCCTCCAGAATTCAGTGGCTAGAAGTATAACACTTAGATGTTCATAAATCCTTAGCATAGGTGATAAATACCAAGTACTTTGAAGCTTTTCATGATCTGCGAGGATGAAAATCTTCCAAGCCATCAAGTGTTGCTGTTGGTATTCATGTGAATGAATAGTGGTTTGAATAATGAGGAAGGTCTTAGAATCAGCCAGCAGTCTCAGGGAACAGGAGGTGACTCAGCTCCCATAGGTAATTTCCAGCTAGAAATTACAAGTAGAAAATGTGAGTTAAATTGAAATTTCTGAACCTAAAAAAAGTCTTCCTGGTATATTAAAATAACCCAATTTGAACCCACTACAGAAATCGCAGAACTGTAAGCCTCTGTACTGGTGGGGACATTTAAGAATGTGTTTATATCTGGAACTTTGAGGAGGCCCTGGAAATGGGGTGAGGAATGGTCACATGAATAACTTTTCTCAAAGATGGAGTCACATCGGATGTTTCCAAACAAAGACTAGGACCATTTTACCAGCATTGGTGGGTGGTCAGACAAGGGGAGTTTTCAGGCTACTTGCAATTTTGCAATTCTATTAGTTTCTAAGCTCTGGGAAGTGAAGACATTCCTAAGCCCAAATGTGGCAGAGTGAAGTGAGTGTGGGCCAGAAATTGAGATGCCTTCATCTACTCTAGCTCTGTACTGAATTCAGCTCTGGAAGTGAAAGAAACGTGTTGAGTACCCACAGTAAACGGGATGGGCTGTTTATTATTTCTGTAAGAAAAGTAGGACAATCCACCCCTGAGACAAACCCTTATGTCCAACTTTTGGAGGATAAAACAGGTTGAAACCTTTCCAAAAAGTAGTAAAGTGTTAAGAGTTAGAGGAGTTCCCTTTGCTGTCAGATGCCTCAGAATTAGAATGAACATAAGCGTCTGTACGGTCCCTACAACAGGAGGAAGCTTGTGTCACTGCTCTTGAAAGAAGTCAATCTTTAACATGGATAGAAAATCACATGTTTAGTTGAGGAAACAATGAATAACCTCCTCCCTATGACTGAGCTAGTCCATAGATAAGCCAACTCACTTTCTTTTTACAAAAATTTGGTACTATACACATAACACAAAATTTACCTATGAAATTTTAACCATTTTTAATTGTACAATTCAGTGGTATTGAATATATTCAACAGTAAGGTATAACCATCACCTTTACCCATTTCCAGAATTTTGTCACCATCCCAATGGAAATTCTCCATATCCTCATAACTTTACATGAAATAATTGTGCGAACTGTCTTTTCCACTCTGAGCTGAAGCCGTGCTTCAGTCCTGCAGTGCCTTGGACAATGGTGAGGACGTAGCGGCCACCACAAGCACAAGTGTCTGAGCTAAAGTTCCCTGACCTGAGTGGGCCCAGGGCCTGCACTGCATGACGCTCACAGAGAAAACACTCAGACTCTCTGCCAGTATTTTTCCAGGAACTCTGCCTCCTCCACATGGCCTGCTCGTTATATGCTGAGATGAGTGCTCAATTAATTTTAACGATGTCATAAACTAGATAATCAAAAACGATGCACCAGTCTGCTTTCATTCGTAGGGGCTAATGACAATGGACACAAGATAAACAAATAGTGTTAAGGCTGAAAAACTGACTCCTTCCTCTTGATCATCCATCTGGAGTAGGCTTTTGAAGCTCCAATGATTTTGTTTATTTAGGAGGCAGCAGTAAATCTCAGAAATTAGAATGGTCGGAGCAAGAAGGCCATGTTGCTCACTGGTCTTGGCTGCCTCTACCACTTTAGCTTTTCTACCCACAAGTATTGGGAGTAACTAAACTCCCTGTGCCTCTGGAAAGGGTGACGGGCAACAAGATTTCTTTTATCCAGAGGTCTCCTATGGTACAGGAACAGCTCTGACAAGATACCAGTTCTCTCTGTGCCATTACACATGCATATTTTTGTCTCTGTTGATTTCCCTGCTCTGATAATATTCTAGGTCCACTTCGTCCCTCTCTGAGACATAAATTGAGTGACTGGGGCTTGTAAGTACAGACCTCATTACTGATAACAAAATTGAGGCTTGATGCATTAAGTTACTCACTGTAAAATAACAAGCTAGCTCAAACTTCAAACCTTACCTATTGACCACTTCAGAGATGCCCCCATTCTCACACATAGAACATCAGAAGACCAAAACTTGGGACCAGGGGGATAACTAGCAGAGGCAGTAAAAAGGAGCTTGAAATCACACAATCTGAAACTAACATAATACTCTGCATAACAAAATTCAGAATCAGAAACAACCTTATGGACTTTTTAGACTAATGAGTCTCAAGGAATTTGTACTAGATAAAATGCAGATCCATAGGCTCTCCCCTGCTTTATTAATTCATAATTTCAGAAAACCACATCTGTTAAAAACAATGTTGCAGGCTAGTCTGGTGCCCTACCAGGCCCAGGAAACAGTGATCACATTGATCAGAAGATTTTTTTTTTAAAGATTTCTTTATTTATTTATTTATTCAAGCACTGGGTACAGTCAGAAGCGCGGGAGGGTGAGAGTATTCACCAGAGCCAAAGCGGGGAACAGAACAGGCAGACCAATGAAATACACTGCTGAGGGGAGCAGTGGGTGCAACAGGAGAGGTCTGCGCACCACGTGGGATCCTCGCAGGTGGCCCGGGATCAAACCGGCATTGCAGAGGCTGTGGGCAGCTTCACAGCCCAGCGCTCAACCACTGCGCCACCAGGGGAGGCCCGATCAGAAGATTTATCTGAAAAACCATGGACAATCCCTCTTTATTCTGGACTCACACTCCTATACAAGTGCCTGAAACAACATTAGCATTTCAATGATAGACTCATCATGGAAAATCTATATTGAATTTAGGGTTAGCAAATATCCTCAAGTCCTTTGCTCAGAATTTATCATCATAGTTATTCTTGACTCTTTAACAACACAGGGATGAGGTTCGAAAAACTAAAACTAAGGATAATTTAAGCCTGTTTAGTTTACTCCTCCCTCCTTTCCCACATTCATCCTTCATTGTTAAACTCAGCAGCGTTCCCATCTCCTCATGGGCATCAAATTATAACACAAATAGATAGAAGTTCTCCTTAGACAGTGTAGCTCACATTTCAATTCCATTCAACAGATATTTAATGAGCAGATAATTCTACAAAATTTTTAAGTGCTGAGTACTTAATGGATAATTATATAACTCAGATATAATTCAAATACAAAGTACAATTGGTAATTGACCACAAGAGAGATGCAAAGTGTTTTATGTCTGTTCAAAGAAGACAAAGATCCATCTTGTTGAGGGTGTACTGAGGACAGAGATAAGCCTCATGGGGGAGATCCCATTTGAGATGGAGCTTCAAGGATCATGAGTATAAGTGGTCAAAAGAAGGCAGCTTGTATACAGGAAATCTTGTGAGTCAAGTAATGAATATGTTGAGGGTGTGGGTGGTTATAGAGTAGTCCTTTTTAAGGTTAAAAAAGTATGTTAGTGCTAATGCATGAAGCACCTGCAAGCTAAATTTGGATTTCATTTTCTAGAAGTGGGGATTTCTGGAAGTTCTAGAGCAGAGAAGTGGTCACCCAGGACAGACTGAGGCCAAGTGAGATTGCAGGCAAGGGTTCTGGTTAAGAGGTAGGAGGTAGTAAAATATTTACAAATTTAAAAAGTTGCAAACCACCTGTATTAGTTTCCCATGGCTGCTGTAACAAATTACCACAAGCTTCAGGCATGAAAAAACAAACATCATTTTCTTACAGTTCTGGGGGTCAGAAGTCCAAATCAAGGTGGCTCTAGGGAAGAGTTTGTTTTCTTGTTATTTCCAGCTTTCCCATTTGTAGTGTTTGCATTCATTGACTCCTGGCCCCTTTTGAAACACATATTATTTTGTAATTAAAATAAAGAAAAGTCGATGAAGGCCAGTGACCATGCAAAGGGAAAAAGTGATGTGACATGCATTGCAGAGATCAAATCTCTAAATTTGCCATCCTCTTAAATCTTAGCAACCATGGAGAATGAAACACCACTCCCCAAATTTGCAGCCTGGGTGACCCCACAGCGCTAGGCTGCTAGTAGACTGGGCAAGTGGCACTACTTGGGAAAGATGAGGTGTCTTTCAGATAGATGTGTCTGTTCTTTTAGGCAATCCCACTAGTACTTGGCTTTTATTCTGTATGACATAAAACTTCCAGAATTTCCATCTAATCAGTCATTAGGAGAACATCTTTTTTTGAAGAACCAAGGTCCTTCAGCATTTCTGACTTTCCACTTGAAAGCCTCCTCTGTGTCTGCATTCACAGAGCCCTAACCTTGCCTGCCCAGCTCTAAGCCTGGCTCCAGCCATCTTGGGTAGTGCCTTTGCTCTGGTCTCCTCGACAACGCTGAGTTAGGTCACAGGGGAAGTTCTACTGGCAGGTAGAAGGGAACAGAATGGTTAGCTGTGTTCTCAGTGGAACCAGACCAAGGATCTTCCTTACTGCAGATGAACAGCTTCTATTCTTTCCTCTGCTTGTCTGCAGACCAATGGGGAATCTCCTGCCCACCTCCTGCAACAATCGTAGTTGAGGTGGCAAGGGATCACCCTAGGCTTTTGCAGACAGGCTCAGATGGGGGTGAGAGAAGAGGGTAGGAGGCCCCGATATGCAAAGAGTTCCTTATCTCAGTAGAAAACATTCTTGCAAAAAGATTGCAACCCAGAAAGCATGAGGCTAGATCCTCCTGTGGCTATCAGCTCTGTGCAAGTAAATTATAAAAGGCCATTCTTTCCGTAGCCACCACTGGACTGGATTCTCCACCCTGCCTTCTAAATTCACTGTTCTGGCTTGTGAGTGGGACTCCTTTGGACATTAAAAGATAAACATGTATGCCCTCTTCTAGAAGGATACTTTGGTTTACCAGCAACATAATATTCTGCGTATTAACTATAGTAACATTGAGGAAAGTATCTTTGCAGATGTGATTAAGAAACTTGAATGGGATAGAGGGGGGCGGAGCAACATGGCGGCGAGGAGACGCTGCGAGTAAGATCTCCCATTAAAAAAAAAGTGAATAGGGAGGAAAAGCGGCAGGTCCCAGTGAGAACTGGGACACGGAAGATAAACGGGTGACTCCAGCAAACTGCCCGAAGAAGAAAGTGGCCATAAAAGAGGACTAGAAGGGAGGAAAGCGCAGAACCCTGCTCCCCTCCCCCGCCCACAGAGGCGGCACTCTCCGACCGGCAGAGAGGAGGAAACAACAAACCAAAACGGCCCACAAGAACAAAGGACGCAGCAAGCGGGACTGGGAGTGGAAAGGAACTATTGCAGCCACCACACCCCGTGAACGGGAGCTGTGGAGAACCCTGCAGGATCCACCGCGGCGGTGAGCGAACAGCTCCGGGCGCCATTAGAGAAGAACAAAGACCCCGGGAGACGCGCACACAGCCCGGGCTGCCGATGACTCCAGGAGGAACCAGAGGGGAGAAGAGAAGCCCACCCAAGATGCCGGCCAGTCCCAACAACACAGTGTCCCAACGCATACGGCAAATTAGAAAACAGACAGTAGGGAGGAGAAGAACCACACGCAACCTAGCAACTCTCCAGAGAAAAAGCACACCACAAAAAGAAAACCAGCCCCCAGATTGCAACGACAGTAACTTGGAAGAACTTCTGAGCCTTCCAGAAAGAGAATTTAAAATTGCCGTGATTAAAAAACTGACAGAAGTCATAAAGGAAAACAATGATAAGGGAAAAATAATCAACGATCAGAAGAATGAAATTGAGTCCCTAAAGAGGGAAGTAAAAGAAATGCAGGAGATCAAAGAATTAGTGGAAGAACTAAAGAATTCTGGGAAAAGCAATGAAAGCAGAATTGATGAAATGGAAGAACGAATAAGTGCTCTTGAAGACACAGAAATAAAAAGAACCAAAACAGAAAAGGAAAGAGAAGTACGAAGGAAAAAGAATGAAGAAAGACTTCGGGAACTATCTGACTCCATGAGGAAAGGAAATATAAGAGTTATAGGAATACCAGAAGGAGAGGAGAGAGAAGTAGGAACAGAGAAAATATTCAAAGAGATAATTGAAGAGAACTTCCCAAATGTGAAGAAGGAGCTGAAAATTGATATACAAGAAGCAAGAAGAACACCAAACTTCCACGACGAAAGAAAAAATACAGCAAGACACATAATAGTAAAGCTCCCAAGAATCCAGGACAAGGAAAAAATAATGAAGCTGGCAAGAGGGAAGAAACAGATAACATTCAAAGGAAAGCCAATCAGGCTGACATCAGACTTCTCCGAAGAAACACTACGGGCAAGGAGAGAGTGGAGGGACATAGTCAACAGACTCCAAGAAAACAGATGCCAACCAAGAATACTCTATCCCGCAAAGCTCTCCTTCCTCTTTGAAGAAAGAATATGGACCTTCCCAGACAAACAGAAACTCCGGAATTTCATTGCAACTAAACCCCCACTCCAAAAAATACTACAAGGAGTCCTAAAGCCAGAACCTCAGAGGGACGAATAACAATGAAAGAAGGCCAAAAAAAAAAAAAAGTTATTAAAAGAATAAATAAATAAAATCAAAGGAAAGACAAACACAATGGCAAATACAGATGTTAACATATCAATATTAACTCTAAATGTAAATGGACTAAACTCTTCAATAAAAAGACACAGAGTTGCAGCCTGGATTAAGAAACAAAACCCAACCTTTTGCTGTCTCCAGGAAACACATTTAGCTACAAAAGATAAAAATAGGCTCAAAGTCAAAGGATGGAAAACAATCCTACAAGCAAATGGGCCAAAAAAGAAAGCAGGAACAGCTATACTTATATCAGATAAAACAGACTTCAAACTCAAAAAAATAAAAAGAGACCCCAATGGTCACTACATTATGATCAAGGGGACAATACTTCAAGAAGAAATAACACTCATTAACATATACTCACCAAACGAAGGAGCACCAAAATATATCAGACAACTGTTGTCTTCTCTGAAAACAGACATCAGAGAAAACACATACGTAGTGGGAGACTTCAACACACCACTATCAACAATGGATAGATCAACAAGACAAAAAATAAGTAAAGAAACCAAAGCTCTAAATAAGGACCTAGAGCAATTGGGCTTAACAGACATCTATAGAACACTAAACCCCAAAAAAACGGAGTACACATTTTTCTCAAGCGCACACGGATCATTCTCCAGGATCGATCACATACTGGGGCACAAGACAAACATCAACAGATACACCAAGATTGAAATCATACCAACCATCTTTTCTGACCATGAAGGCATCAAACTAGAACTAAACCATAAAAAGAAGGCAAGGAAATTTCCTACCTCATGGAGATTAAAAACCACACTACTGGAAGACCACTGGACTAATGAGGAGATCAAAGAAGAAATTAAAAAATTTTTTGAATTGAACGACAAGGAGGACACCAATATCCTAAATGTATGGGATGCAGCAAAAGCAGTAATAAGAGGAAAATATATAGCAATAGAAGCTCACATCAAGAAACAAGAAAGAACTCAAAGAAACAACCTAATCTCGAAGCTCAAAGATCTAGAAAAAGAACAACAAAAAAACCCCAAAACCAGTAGAAGAAAAGAAATAATAAAAACCAAAGCAGAAATAAATGAAATTGAAACTAAAAAAACAATCCAAAAGATCAATGAAACCAAGAGCTGGTTCTTTGAAAAAATCAATAAAATAGACAAACCCCTAGCCAGGCTCACAAAGGAAAAAAGGGAGAAAGCACAAATAAACAGGATCATCAATGAAAGAGGAGAAATCACAACGGACACAGCAGAAATCAAAAGAATAATCAGTAACTACTATGAACAGTTATATGGAAATAAGTTTAATAATCTAGAGGAGATGGACAAATTCCTACAACTCTACAATCACCCAAAGCTAGATAAAGAAGAAATAGAACACCTAAACAGACCAATTACAATTAGCGAAATTGAAATGGTAATCAAAAACCTCCCCAAAAACAAAAGCCCAGGACCTGATGGATTTACAAATGAATTCTACCAAACATTCAGAGACGAATTAGTGCCTATCCTTCACAAACTCTTCCAAAAATTGAGAAGGAAGGGACAATACCAAAGACGTTCTATGAAGCCAACATTACACTAATACCAAAACCGAACAAGGACAACACTAAAAAGGAAAACTACAGGCCAATCTCCCTAATGAACACTGATGCAAAAATCCTCAATAAAATTTTAGCCATCAGAATCCAACAATGTATCCATAAGATAATTCACCACGACCAAGTAGGATTCATTCCAGGGGCACAAGGATGGTTTAACATCCGAAAATCAATCAACGTTATCCAACACATCAACAAAAAGAAATATAAAAACCATATGATAATATCAATAGATGCTGAGAAAGCTTTCGACAAAGTGCAACACCCATTCATGATAAAATCCCTTGAAATTCTTGGGATACAAGGAACATACCTCAACATCATAAAGGCCATCTATGACAAGCCAACAGCCAGCATCATTCTCAATGGTGAAAAGCTGAAAGCAATTCCATTAAGATCTGGAACAAGACAAGGATGTCCACTCTCACCACTGCTTTTCAATATAATACTGGAAGCCCTAGCCAGGGCAATAAGACAAGAGAAAGACATCCAAGGAATCCAAATAGGAAAAGAAGAAGTCAAACTATCACTATTTGCAGACGATATGATATTATACATAGAGAACCCCAAAAACTCCACAGAAAAGCTAATTCAACTCATCAATCAGTTCAGTAAAGTGGCAGGATACAAAATCAACACGCAAAAGTCAGTAGCCTTCCTATACACAAACAATAAATCTGAAGAAGAAGAAATCAAAAAAACCATCCCTTTTG